TATCATACTCGATATAGCTAGCTAACTCAATAAAAGTGGTACGGATAGCTAGCTATCACAAGCCGATATTGCCCGATAACATATTTTTATAGCTAGATAATCTCAAAGGCATTTTTTTGCTTGGGTAATCTGCTATCGTGAATCAGAAAATGATCTGGTCATCAGAAATCTGGCCGTGTCTTTCTTTTCATAATACTCATCATATTATGTGTAAGAAAACCTGTGCTACTGTTGAGCTTTATATGAACTGTAGAAGGACTCTAGTCCTTCCTCTTTCATGTAAGAGACAATGCGGCGCTAAAGCTACCTAATAAAGACCCTTGAGAAGGGTCGGAACTAGCCGTGGCTTTTTTTCACACTCACACCAGGGACTGTTATGGACTCGGATGTCCAAGGACGCCCATGAACCGAAGGCTTTTGAGAGGATCGCCCATGGCCGCAACTGCCCCATCGATGGCGTTCAGCGACGGAAAATGTGCGTCCAGAGCGGTCCCCCTTAACAGATATAGGCAGTCGTTTTTTGAAAGGTCATGATGAATCATCATTTAGGAGTGGGGAAGTGTCTGCTAGGAGATGGAGCGTGAATGAAAATTTTTTTTTGAAGGAAGAGGCAGATATTCTATCATATCAGACTCTTCGTTCAATATGCATCTTGCCATTGTCCATATTGTTTCTTTGGCGGAATGTGCCAGTTTACACATCAGGATTTGTTCTGTCGTCAGATATCGTTATCGGTCTGAGTAGCCACCCAACGACTTGAATTACAGAATAAACATTTACTTTTAAGCGTAGTATCGGTATAGTGTTCTTTACTGGCTTGAATAATAATATTTTTTCATTGATAACCTTTTCCTAATCGAAAACTCGTTTTTCTACTGTTTAGGGAAAAATACTGGATAAAAAATCCAAACGGATCGATTCTGGGTGTGATAGGGAAGCGTCCTTCCGGGCAAACTGATTACGTTTTGATGAAGATAGAGTTTGTTTATTTTTAACCTTACTCTCTTTTTTATCCATGTGACGGATAGAGGTGTCAACCAGATACCTCCGTGGTAAGAGTGTAGACAAGAATTGTCAATGCCCTGGGTTCGAATGCTAGTCTGGTCACACATTTTTCCTTCGTAAAGCACTTACTAAGTTTTATTGTAGATGCCATTGATTTTGGCTACGAGATCCAGAAATCCTGCGCCCTAAATATTAAACCAAACTGGAAGGCTTCGAAATGGACAAGTGCCAACATGTTGACAAAGTGTTTTTAGCTCCATTTTACCCCCAAAACAGGACCAAGAATGTGTGAGAAAGAATATTAAAACAAACAAGAGAAAATGTTTTTCATACAGAATTTTTCTGTTTTATATTATAAACTAATAGAACTGATTTCGAAGTGACTGTGACAATCTAAACAAACAAAAAGCGCGTGAATATGCTAAGAGTAAGTAATCATTTGAAAAATTTCTTGCTTTTACACAGTTTGTTCAGCTTCCGCCTTAGCAACTTTACCAGATTCAAGATTCTTGTCCAAAATAACACCCGAATTATCAGGACTATCGAGATTACTAAGCAAATCTTCCTTATGAAGCACCGCTGGATTGAAAGCAACCGCACCTTTTGGAATGAAAGTACATGCAAAAATCACCACTGTAATAACGGTAAATTGAACACCGGCTGTATTAACAAGTGCTGGTCTAATACTTTTAGTAGAATTATAAATGCTGTCAATATACTTTCCAAGAAGTGGATTTGCAATTGCGTAGATGACAATGTATGATGAGTAGAGAAATGCCATGACAGCGCCCAACACGGAAAAATTCTTATTCTTTGATTCTAGATGAGTGAGGGATGATTGAATGTAAGCAGTAAGCGAAATATCACCAGCTGCAAGTCCAAACGAAATGGGAATAAATGTTGCGGCGATAATCCAAGCATATTTGACGCTGTTGGATGGAGGATAATAGTATGGAATATACCAAATGATAAGCAACATCAATGCATTCCATCGTAACCAAAACATAGGAGTTTTAATCCTGTTCGCAAAAAGAAACACGAAAAGTGCGCCGAGCAACTCGCCAAAATTTGAGCCACCAACGATAACTTGTGACCACTCAGAATTGTCAAGGTATCGTTTTGCAACTTGTGGCGTAATTCCATTTTCAAGATATAGATGAACATAAAGGGCAATAGAATAGCAACTCCACCACCAAACAAACTTTCGATTGATGAGCACGATTTTTCCACCAGCATAGACAGATTGTCCGAAGAGTAGGAATCCACTGACAACAGACTTCAAATAATTCGATTTCGGTTTTTCATCATCCGGGACGACTTTATCGTCTTGATTAGTATCCTTGAATTCGAGGGAACTGACGAATAGCCAAATGATTCCAGATGCAGTGAAAAAGATCGGCGTAATGATAAAGGCGTAATTGTTTCCAAAACGGGGAATCAAGCCAAGGCCAGTGGCAAACGCTCCACTGGTACCCGAAACCTCATAAAAGATATGAACTATAGCATCCATTCTTTGCAACTTTTGAACATCAGCGCCGACGATATCCTTTGGAATGACTCTTCGAATCAATTCGACCATTCCGTACACAATGCCAGTAAGACAATAAATGGGTATGATAATCGCATCAGTATTATATCTGCCATAATACCTGAAATCATTCTTATTCACTGGTTTAAAATTCGTTGGTTTTATATACCCGCCAGTAGAAACGTCGAGAATCATAAGGACAGCAGTAAAAATTGCAAAAATGAAAATCGCAGCTGAAAGAACAGTTCTCATCGGCCAACGTTTGATAATGGGAGCAACGAGAATAGAACCGACACATTGACATGCTTGATTGAGTCCCGAAAGTAATCCGATTCTTTCGAATGTCCGTGAAGGTATGCCACTATTGAAAGCGTTCTGATCATAGCGATTCGTGGCAAGGGTAATGATGGATCCGTTGAACGCCTCCAATCCAAATTTGTAAAGCATGATTCCAAGGATGTAGATCGCGATGTTTCGTTTCTCTACGGCAGAAAAGAGTGACCATGTTTCAGAAATTCTAACTTTTCGGACAGGCATTTGCGGTCGACTAAAACTAGAGAAAGATAGGGTGACTAACGGTAATTAAACGTTTTCACTGAGGCCTTATCCACAAACTTATTCAAAACATTTTGATAAGATCTATGGTCATCATCAGTAATAAATTATTACACAATCGTACGGTCGATCATATATTTATCGCCATAATTTTTAAATTGAGTGCAGTTCGATGAAGAATGGTCGGGGAGAACTGGGAGACCTGTCATTTTGTTCAGAAATGTTAACTCTATCGAATGAAGCTATTTGCAAGAAGTATTTGGCCATATCCAGAGAACTGGTTTTGAAGTCTTGGTTTTCCGAAAGCCCTTTCGCCGATGTTAGAATTCTTTTTTGAATATAATATTCTTGTTCAGAATTGAATTCTCTTTCGAATGAGGTAGGTCCTCGCGTTTGCACCACGCTGGTGGTACGACACAGGAAGAATTATTCTCAATGATATCAGTTTTCGATTAA